AAGTCGGTCGGTGGTCCAATAATTAATTGATATCATTATTGAAAAAATAATTAATTGATATACCATAAAAAATCAATCTACCAAAAAGTAAAGAGTCACGTCCAGCAAAAAATGAATCGCTTAGTAAAGTGTGTTGCTCAAATTAACATAAGCAAGTTCATGATACAATTACATGTATGTTGGTTTCTCCTACAACACCCCCTTGAAGCCTTCTTCCTCCAAAGGTCAATACTTTTAGTTAAAAAAAGTAATTATAATTTGAGCTACTGCCGGTCAGCCACTGCCCATATATCACTTGCCCGGTTGACCCTGAAATCTACAGTCCAACAAAAACAATTAAGAAAAAGTATGACAAATGATTATTTGATATTCATTGGTAGTTTAAATAACTTGCTAATTGCAACATTTATCCATAACTTGCTAATTCCATTTTCACTCACGCACTGACGCTCCAAAGAGATTTTTTTTTTCAAAAACCTCGCTCCAAAAAGAATAAGCTGTGATGGATGGAATGTGACATCAACAATCTAAAAGACAATTGGCAACATAGTGTAATGCCTCAGGTACCATAAAATGTCGTACACTATGCATACCTCCACCCTCTAATTAGACTGCAAGAAAAATATTTTGTTCATTCTGCAACCAGTATATATTAGGGGACTTAAACCATAGCATGCAAGTGCAAAGCATGGAATCTAACAAATACCTTCAAGAACATTTTGAGCAGACCATATGACAGCACACATAAGCAATAGCAGAGGAAAGAGATCACCAATGATGTGTTTGTGGCTGTAACAATGACAGGAGAAGATAATCGGGGTATCATGACCCTTCTTTAGTCCATTATATTAGGACTTGCCAGGCCTGCAGTGGCTCTACGAAGAACTTCAGAAGTTGTTTGTGCCTATATCGTCATGTAGCTTAGCATAAAAAAATAATACAATTACAAAACTGTAAAAAGGAACTTACCTCGTCACACCCTGTGATGAGCATTGCCATATTATTGGAGGATTGTTGCTATTAGGTAAAATTTATTTAGAGACAGTTTCTTCCGCAGACGTTTGCAGTGGTGGCAGAGGATCGATGCAGAAATAAATTGGTTTCGTGCGCAATCAGTCATGAGGAGTTCGAAGAGTTGATGGCACGAGACCCAGCCAGGAAGCGCAAGTGTTCCCTTCTGCGTTTCTTCTTCTACATGCGCAGGGCGGCTGGGGTGAGTAGCCAGGAACGATGACGTGGAGCGCTCTGGATTGAGAAAAAATGGTCAGTGGGGTTTTGTTTTATAAGAGTTTAAGGTAGGATTAGGCTACATTAAAAAATAAAAGAAAATGACAATGGTAAAACAAACTAAATCATTCATCGTGAAGACATTACATTAGCTTATGGTGGATTCAGAAAACTTCTTGGTCTGCAGAGCTGAGTGGAACACAGTAGCACACTGAACTGTTTTTTTCTCTAACATCCGTTCTGCAACAGCAGAGGCATGTCTTTTGCGGCAAGAAAATCAAGCTAGAGGAAACACCATTACTTCTTACATCAATAGTTGTAAATGAAAGCAGGTCAACATCAAACTGTATCGTTGCTTCGGTGGAATAGTTACATTGTTTTGTTAGCTTCTTCTTGACCATTCTACTTTGAGTGCAGAATAAAAACAAAATTCATTACTCCTAAATCAATCAATAAAGAATTATAACTGGTACAAAATCCTCAATTTCCTTTGTCAATGTGTTCTCAAACATAAAATGCACCAGACATAAGTAACTGGCCTGAAACCATGAAGATGCATGAACATACCAATGCAGAGAAAAAAAAAATTGACAGACTCCTGCATGACTAAAATTTTGCAGTGCAGAAAACAACAAGGCAGAGATCAAAGGATGTCACCTTGGCTCAGCAGCTTTGTTGCATATGGGCAGCACCTGCATGAAAGGCACAAATTATTCCACTTTGGATGGTTCCTCCTCCGAAATTTAGACGCCTCATCCGAAACTAAAAACTTGCCGTAAATATTTGATACTTCTATATACTAACCGATATATTTCTTTATTAGGATTTAAGCACAAGTTTTTTTTTTTTGCTCAAGCGCCGCAACTGATCCTGCTACTATGTTTGATGTTTCCCCTCCAAATCGACCCTCAAGCCACAGTTAACTTTGACCAAATGGAAACAATAGAGAGTAGATCAAAACTTATCGATGTTTCTGATTTTTTAACACGGTTTCTTGGATCTTTCATTGACTGTTAGGAGTCGATAACATTCCTTGTGACCTCAGATCAAGCCACAAATCAAAACTAAGAAAAAAATGGCTGACCCGATCTGTGCACTTACCTTATCGTGCATGGAGAGGATGAGGTGGCCGGTGGCATTGAGGAGGACGTGCCAGTGACGGACGCTCAAGATGGCGTTCTTGCCCCGCAGCACGACGGCGACGTTGGCGTTGGTGAGGTTGACGTCACCGTCGGAGAGGCTGATGTCCTTCTTGGGCGAGGGTGGCTGCTGTGCGCGGGCGCGCGACCACGAGGATGACAGTGACGACGCGGGTGCGACGAGCGCACGCACCGCCCTGAGGGTGAGGGTCAGGGTGAGGACTGTGGGGGAGAGGGATTGACCTTTCCTTTTGTGCTGGAGCGAGGCGCGGGGGAATGAGGGGATCAGAAGCACCGCTCGCGTGATTTCTGATTCCTTCTTTCACTGGCATCGAGTGGCAGGCGGGGATCGCACAGGGGAGAGGCAGAGCGACCATCCAAAAATTGTCGCACCGTTGGGTTGTCTTTGTTTTGTTCTTTTTAGGGTCTGTTTGGATCAGTTTAGATCCTAGAAAACCAGCTATTACTTCTAGTTTTTAAAATCTGGTTTATGAGCAAAATCCGGTGGGATGTTTGGATCCCTAGTTTTTAGAAGCTGGTTTCATTTATGATTATTGCTAATAGACTATTAAACCCTTCATTTATTGCTCTTAAACAACCATGGCTTGGTCTTTAATGAGGGCAAATAGGTACTTGTGCTGAGTCTCATCGGCATATGGGTTCTTTTAAGAATCTAGGTAGGTAGATTTTAAAAACTGCCCCAAAATCTGGTCTGTTTGATCCTACTTAGTTTTTAAAAGTCAGATTCTTAAAATCTGAGTGGATCCAATCGAGCCCTTAGTTGTAGGAGATTTCTCGGACTCGGCTCGTCCGCCAGAAAAGCAAGGGGCCGCCTCGTCCGAAACCATGCTGACCGGAACCACCTAATCCAGCAAACCAAACAGCCTGAGTTGCTGGCCCTGGCACCCTTCAAGATTATCTCGCTCAAGCTCCGCTACTACAAGCGATCGGCTGAAGACCAGTTGATGTCATCCGCTTGGTGGTTTTCTTTATGCAGGCAGGACAAGAATGACCGAGCACAACATCTCTTTGGCCATGCACTCGTAGCCCTCTAGTCCTATTCTTAGTATTACTGTACTCCTAAAGCCTCCATATTAATATTTTGAGGCAGGTTAGAATAAGCGATCAATCCTAACAATTAGTAAAAACGATAAAAACACAGTCACCAATTTGATAGACTCAATCATCACTGATAATAATAGCTATCGAATATATTTCATTATCTTGAAATTATTCGTGTCTAACAATATGAAAAATAGTTTGAAGTAACCACTGAGTTATATTTGAATCGTGCACATGCACCTGTCACTGTAGAAAATAATCTAAAGTAACCCTCTTAAATCTTCATCTAAATTATGCATCTATGTAAATAATGAAAAATAATATGAAGGAACCTTAAATTAATTTTATATATGAATTACCCATCTTTACCATTATTAAGAATAATAATCTAAAGCAAATTCCTAATTATTAATATTTATCTAAATTACTTATGTCTTCCGCAAAAGAAAACAATTATACTTACCTTTGTCGTTATAAAAAATAATCAAATTACTCATATATGTGTTCCTAAATTACCCACATTTTACAGTGTTACTCATGTTCATGTATGTGCCAGCCCACCTTACCTCTCGGCTCCTTATTGGTGTTAACTCTATTATCGTCTGTATAATCTCGACTCTGTTCGGCAAGACTTATTTTGACTTCAGCTGATTTGTATAGCTGATTTATTGTGAGAGAAAAACACTGTTTTCTGGCTGGCTGATTCTAGCTGATAAGCTCAAGAGACCAGAGCCCTCATTAACACAGATTCATTTATGGCATTAGACTAAACCTAAAGGTGTATCAAACAACATGCAGAAGAAACAGAGGGCTAACATAGCGGCGAGAGAAGAATAATAAAAACAAAAAAAAAACAGTACTCAATTCTAATGGCATATGAAAACAAGAAACATGAGCCCCATGGAGAGAGTGGTTGGTTCCCATATGTGGCTTTGAGTTGTGTGTGAGACTATCTCACCTTCCTCTCTACTTATAATGGTTTAATTGCTACACCTTAATTACTAATAGCCAGCAGACAAGTAAGTCAACCAAAAATGCTCCTAGACGATTAATGAGGGGCATGATGGACTGTGGCCTCGCTGCATAATGAGTCCTAAAATTGGTAGAAGTGACAGTTTTTCAAATCGAAGACGTGATCTTCCGGCGCTGTAGAACAAAGTTTCTAGTATGAATTAGCAAGTGTCGATGTCACTCTAGCTAGATCAAGTGTGGCGACAATTGCACTTTGCTCTTAGTAGCGGATCACCGAGTGAGACACGGCTCAGCTGGTTTCGCAACCCTGTCTCAACGTTCGCGGAGAGAGAGATCAGGCAACACGGAACCACACCGACGGCGTGTGCTTGCGTACGCCGAGCTCGTGCGCTGTGCACAGCAAGCGTGCCGCCGCCCACTGTGCGTCGCCCGGAATCCTCTCCAACCGCCGCGCACGTAGCTCGGCCTATAAATTGGCTTCCGCGCAGCAGCCAGGCTCCTCATCTCGCTCCCGCAAGCCACAAAGCAACATACTAACAAGCGCTATCCGTGTGTCTCTCGCTCGTGCAAGGAAAGAGGAAAGCAAAGCTTCGTTCCAGCATGGCCAAGGCCAGCACCAGCAGGCTGCTCTTCTCGCTCTCGCTCATCGTCCTTCTTCTCCTCGTGCAGGTGAGAGCAGACACGACACGAGCTTGGTTAACTAAAGCGCTTCTCTGATCGATGATATATATACATGCATTCGTGCTAATTGGTTTGTATCCTGCTTGTTTTAATTGATTTCTTGGCGTTGTGCAGACCACTGCTCCCCATGGACAGGCTGATGCCATCGGTAAGACCTGCTGCATGCATTCGTGTGATTCTAGCCCGTCTCTTGTTGCTCTGAATGAACATGCATCATGCATGTCGATCAAAATACGTACTGACGATGCATGAGCAAATGATGTTTGTTGGGGTGAACGCGTACGCAGACTGCGGCGCGAGCTGCGCGTACCGGTGCAGCAAGTCGGGGCGGCCCAAGATGTGCCTGAGGGCGTGCGGCACCTGCTGCCAGCGCTGCGGCTGCGTCCCGCCGGGCACCTCCGGCAACGAGGACGTCTGCCCCTGCTACGCCAACATGACAACCCACGACGGCAAGCACAAGTGCCCGTGAACAACCGTGCATCCCGGCCACTCCCAGCAGCATCAGCCGTTACCAAGACATGCATGATGCATGCATGATACTGCTTCATTCTACCTATATATAGCTGCTACTACTACGCCATCCGTACGTCCATCCGTCATCAGGTTCATTGCTGTGTACGCGTGCTTTCAGCTACCTGTAGTAATACCTACCATTACTCTGAATTAACCAAAATCAAAGCTCTGTATTCCGATCATACGACGTACGTACATGAATAAACACAAGATATAAAACTATATACTAGTATGAGAATGTGGTGTTTGGGTGACGCTGCTCCGACAGTGTCCACACACATGCAGTGATCGATTAGCTGGGCTATGGATATGGTCACTTCAAGCACCAGCACGTACTTCACTTATTCCTGTGTACGCATGGCACGCGTGTTGAAATCCTAGGAGGTGTAGATCAGTGGGTAGATCCTTAGAAAAAACAAGTAGTTTAACCTAGAACTTGAACTAGAGATAGAGAGAGAGGAGTAGAAGTGGCTGACCATTGGACTTGGAGGAGGAGCTGGTCATGACGTCGGCGGCGAAGTTGGCGCCGTCAGCTCGGCGGCGGTGAAGGCGGGGTGGAGTTGGCGACATCAGCTCGGCGGCGGTGAAGCTTCCCGTCGTCGTCAACACACCCTCTCGATCGGACTAGGGTATGTAGGTGGGGTTAGTGGCGGCGGTGACCGTGAGCCCTGGCCCCCACCTCCTTTATATAGCGCTGCGCGACGGGGCCCACCAACCATGGTTCAGTTGGGTGCCCCCGATCAGGGCGCGAGTCAGGGTCCGACTCGGTCGTTGGACCGAGCCGGTGGAGATCAATCTAACATTCTTCCCCTTGATCTCAATTTATAACTTAAACTTAAAATACTTATCTCTTTTCCTATTCCATCACAGATTAGTGCATAAAAGCATGCCTCATCACAACGATTAGTACCATTAGATTAACAACCATAATACACCACTCTGTTTAGAAACAGATTTTCAACTAGGCCCTTATTATCGAGGAATCATAGGCTTTCTCGTAAACCTATGCCGGCTAAGTGTTCTCTGAACATATTGGGCGGTAAGCCTTTTGTAAGCGGATCCGCAGGTATTTTCTTTGTACTTATATGCTCGAGACTAATAGAATGATCATGTACTTTGTCTTTCACAACATAAAACTTTATGTTAATGTGTTTGGCAGCATCACTTGACTTATTATTGTGAGCATAACATACTGCTGGCTCATTGTCGCAGTACAATTTGAGTGGCTTATGAATGTCATCGACCACTTTCAACACGGGCATAAATTTCTTTAGCCAGTTCACCTGCCCCGTGGCCTCATAACATGCTACAAACTCGACATACATCATGGACGATGCAGTGACGGTTTGCTTGGAGCTTTTCCATAATATAACCTTATGTGGATTTTCTATCATCTACATCTCCCGCAAAATCTGAATCTGAATATTCTTCTATATATAGGGAATCGGATCTTCTGTACGTTAGCATGGGACCTTTTATGTCTTGCAAATAGCGCAAAGCTTTCTTTACTATTCTCTAGTGTTCTATTCCTGGATTACTCTGATATCTGCCAAGTATCCCGGTAACAAAAACTAAGTCATGGCATGTACATACTTGAGCATACCGCAAGCTTCCTACAGCTGAAGCATATGAAACCGCTTTCATTCGATCGATCTTATATTGGTTCCTGGGACATTAGAATTCCCCAAAACTATCGTGCTTAACTATAAGAGCAGGTGAAGGCTTACACGTATGCATATTGTATTTCTTTAGAACCTTTTCTAAGTATGCCTTTTGCAATAATTCTAAAATCCTCTTTTTTCTATCTCTGTGAATCTCTATTTCTAAAATAAATGAAGCTTCACCGAGATCTTTCGTACCAAAATTTGAGGACAAGAACTTTTTTGTCTCCAGTAGTAGATTAACATCATTACTAGCGAGTAAGATGTCATCCACATACAGGATTAGGAAAATGAATTTCCTATTCTTGAACTATGTATAAATGCAATTGTCCTCTACATTATCTTTAAACCTAAACTTTCTTATTGTTCCATCAAACTTTAAATACCATTGTCTAGAGGCTTATTTTAATCCGTAAATGGATTTCTTCAAGCAGCATTCCATACGTTCTTTTCCTTTTACGACAAAACCTTTTGTTGGTTCCATATAAACATTTTCATCTAAATCCCCGTTAAGGAAAGCCGTCTTTACATCCATCTGATGTAATTCTAAATCGTAGTGTGCCACTAACGTCATTATGATTCTAAAAGAATCCTTGCATGAGACTGAAAAAAATGTCTCATTATAATCTATTCCTTCTCTTTGCGTAAAGCCTTTCACCACAAGTTGTGCTTTAAATCTTTCCACATTCTCTTTGGAGTCATATTTAGTTTTGTAAACCCATTTACAGCCTACTGTCTTGACTCTTTTAGGATTTTTTTTCTAAGTCCCAAACACTGTTGGTGCTCATTGATCTCATTTCATCTTACATGGCTTCAAGCCACTTTGATGAGTGAGCGCTTCTCATGGTTTCTTCAAATGAGGTGGGATCAACCTCCATTTGAAAATTTTCACATTCATAGACTTCGTAGTCATCAAGAATGGCTGGTTTTCTTGCTCTTTGAGACCTTCTGGGAGCCTCATTAGTTGTCACTTATTCCATATGGGGATGTTGATGCTCTTTCCTCATGTGCGACAACGGGTTCTATAGGATCATGAAGGACATGTTCCTCATGTTCATTTATTGTTGCCATGGAAGAACTAACAATAGGTGTTGTCACTGCAAAGTCATGTACTGTTGGTGCAGCAGCAACAGGTAGCGAGAAAAATGGCTCTTGAACCATCGAAGTGGACACATATACCCGCTTCTCCTCAAAGTTAATTTCTCGCACTACCATGCTCCTCCTGATCATATCATTCTCCAAGAAAACAGCGTGTCTTGTTTCTACAAACTTCGTATATTTGTCAGGATAGTAGAAACGATAACCTTTTGACTTATCTGGATAGCCAATGAAATGTCAACTAACTATCTTGGAGTTTAGCTTTCTAATATTTAGGTTAAATACTTTAGCCTCAGTTGGACAGCCCCACACACGTAAGTGGTTAAGTGAGGGTTCACTTTATGTCCACAACTCATATGGTGTTTTGGACACCAACTTGTTGCTTGGTACTCGATTGAGAATATGAATGGCGGTTTTTAACGCCTCTATCCATAAACTTATCGGTAAAGTGGAGTAACTTATCATACTTCTCACCATATCCATTAAGGTACGGTTGCGTCTTTCAGCTACTCCATTCTACTGAGGCTCGCTCGGTGTAAAGTACTGGGCAACTATGCTATTTTCCTGTAAGATCTTTGCAAAAGGTCCAGGAACTTGGCCATATGGGGTATGTCGACCGTAGTACTCCCCCCATAGTCGAATCTTATGACCTTAATCTTTAAATTATGCTGATTTTGTACTTCAGCCTTAAATATCTTAAATTTATCCAATAGTTCTGATCTTTTCTTAATTGGATAGATATAGCCATAACGAGAGTAATCATCTGTGAATGTTATAAATGAATCATAACCATCCACACTTTTCATAGGAAAAGGATCACAAATATTTGTGTGTATTATTTTCAAAATTCCTGCGCTTTGTTTGGCGTTTTTCTTTATTTTCTTAACATACTTTCCTTTAATGCAATCAATACATTGTTCTAAATCTGAAAATTCTAATGACAGAAGAATTGATTTCTTAATCAATCGTTCTATTCTTCCCCTCGAAATATGGCCTAAACGACAGTGCCACAATTTCAAAAATACGTCATGAATTCTCTTCTGCTTATTACTTACATTCATAGATGAGGAGGCATTCTCATTATTAGTGCTCACAACATTCATATTCTCACAAAGTGATAACAAATAAAGCTTGTCTTGTCGGAAGGCAAGACTAACACACTTATTATTAAACGTAATCTTACATTGGCCATTACTAAAATGGCAATCATATCCATCATCGTCTAAACATGAGACACTTATTAAGTTTCTACGCAAAGAGGGTACATAAAGGACATCTAAAAGCTTAAGTACAAAGCCATCATTTAATTCTAATGAGAGGTCTCCAATGGCTTCAGCTTCAACTTTGACTCCATTTGCTACCTTAATGTGTCTTTCTCCTCTTTACAGGGTCCTCCTCGTATGGAATCCCTGTAATGAATTTGCAACATGAATAGTTGCGCCTGAATCAATCCACCAAGTAGATTTTGCATAACTTAAATACAAGGATTCATCTACAAATATAATAATGTCCTCACCTTTTCTGATTAGGTGCTTCAAGAACTCTGGATAATCTTTCTGGTAGTATCTAGTCTTGTGGCACCATCTGCAGGTGTCCTTGTCCACTTGAACATAGTTGGATTTCTGATGATGATCTTTCTGAGGGGGCCTTTCCTTGTGACTTAGAGGAGTTATTGTCCCATTGAGGTTTCCCTTGTGGTTCAACATTCTTGTTGTTAAAGTTCTTTTTTTTTTTTCTTGACATGGTTGACGGAGTCACCATGTTAGCTCTTAAGCCTCTTCTCTTCTTGTACACACATGGCAATGAGCTTCTCAATGTCCCACTTATCTGGCTGTAAGTTGTAATTAACAACAAAAGTCTCATACTCTTTGGGCAAAGATGCAAAAACCAAATGAATTAGGAACTCGTCCTTGAGCTCCAAGTACATTGGCTTGAGCTTGGATGCCGTGTTGCTCATCTTCAATATGTGCTCTCTAATCCCTCTACCAGAGTATTTCTCATTGACTAACTTCTTAATAAGAGTGCTTGCATAAGCCTTTGAAGAGCTAGTAAACTGACTATCCACCTTCTTGAGATACTTAGTGGCGGTGGTACATTCTGGGATCGAACCCCTTATTGGATCCTCAATGGAGCCCTTAATCACCATCAAACACTTGCGGTTTGAACTATCCCACTTCACATGATCAAGATCATACGT